AGCAGAGCTAACTCTTGCAATTTTTGAGCTCACGTGCAGTAAAACTGTTATAATTGTAACTGAAGTTAGAGGCTTTGAAGACAGATGCTGCTCCCAAAATACAAACTTTTCTATTTTGTGAGTATAAACATTGTTTTTTTTTTTTTTAGATACCTCCTTTTAGTTATGTGCTCTGTAACAGTTTCTTCTACAGGAGAGTCTGTCTTACAACTGGCCTTTTATTCCTTGATGAAGAATTACAAAGATGAGTTCTGATCAGTTGAGGGTTGTTGTTTTTTTTTTTTTTTCAAACAAAATGGTCTCAAGAAATCTAATGCCAGGGTAATTTTAAGATGAAAAGACTTGCTGTAGAAATTAATTATCCTTCATGGAAACAGGGAGTCAAATTTCCTACATGGATTGCAACTGTTCCTTCAACCCCTTAGATTTTGAGTCATGGTTGTATCAATGTGCCCTGTATCAAATCAACTCACTGTTGCAATTTCATAATGAAATCCTTTCCTAAAGAGCTTATAAGAAACCTAAACCCATTATTGACAGAAACAACACACTGTTTGTGTCAGATGGTTGCAGGATACATTGATTAAAGCTGAACTGTTAATCCAACTCAACCTTGGGTACATTAGCCCCTGCTCCACTCTAACCTGAAATCTTATGCTAATCGTGACATTGTCTCTCCCCTAAATGAGCGACTTCACTTTTCTGGTGCTCCAGCCCCCATAGAGTGAAGGAGTAAGGGGGAAGAACTGGGCTTCCCATGTGCTGGATTTACTCTTCTGGAGCTTTGGGGGTTAATGGATTTTGTGGAGCCTCCCTGGGCTCTGGGCTGGGGACAAAAATGAGGGGTTCATTGTGTGGGATGGGGTGAGAGTGCAGGATCTGGGTGAGAGGTGAGGTGCAGGAGCAGGCTCGAAGTAGGGTATCTGGCCAGTGGGGAGGGGGCAAGAGCAAGAGAGGGAGCAGGATGGAGGTAGGGTACAAGAGCAGGCTGAGGTAGGAGTAGGGTGCAGGAGCTGGGGTCACGGGGTAGGGTGCAGGAGCAGGCTGGGGTGGGGTGTCTCGCTGGGGGCACTGCAGGAGCATAGTAGGGGTGCAGGGTCTGGTCATGAGGAGGCGAGGGCACTTATAGCTTTTGCACTCCACACCGCTCCCAGGCACATCTTTCTGCTGCTCTCATTGGCTGGATTCTGGCTCATGGGAGCTGAGGAGAAAGCCTCCAGGCAGCGCATCAGTGGACTGCTGTTTCCTCAGCAGGGGGAGGGGGAGAGGAGTGGCAGCACATGGAGCTGCTTCTGGCTCTGCTTCGTTCCACTTCTTCCCCATGAGACAGATCTGGTGGGGAGGCTTGAGGCTCCTCTGCACTCTCTCCCCCCCCCCCCCCCCCCCCGCGTTCCAACCTTGCAGGGGGCAGAGCGCAAGGCTGGAGTGCCAGTGTGGGCTCCCTGATGCAGGGAGAGGGTGGGAGGAGCTGAGCTCAAGCCTCAGACAACCTAGAAGGTGGTTGTGGACCACTAGTGCAGTTTGAGAAGCACTGATCTAGAGAAACAGGGTGGCCATTGGTAACAGTGGGGTGGGGTTTTTTTGGTCATTGTTGACCTTGGTAGTATTTCAACCACAGAAGGGAAGAATGAGAGAAGCAAAATAAGGACAATAGCCTTTTAAAAAGCAGAATTTAACAAACTGAACGAACTAATAGGTAAGTTCCCATGTGAACAAAATCTAAGGGAAAAAAGAGGTCAGGGGAGTTGATATTTTCTTAAAAAGACTGTAAAAAAGGCAAAAATACAAACTATTCCTATGTGAAGGAAAGATAGGAAGACTAGCAAGAGTCCAATATAATTTCATCAGGAGTTTGTAATGATCTGTAAATCAAAAAGGAATCCTACCAACAAGTGGAAACATGGATGAATTGCTGAGGAGCACAAAATGATAGCTCAAACATATAGGGACAAAATCAGAAGGAGTAAAGCATAAAATGAGTTACCTCAGGAAGGAACATAAAAGGTAATAAGAAGAGTTTCTTTTCAATACAGTAGAAGGAGAAAGTCCAAGGAAAGCGTTAGTCCTCTACTTAGCAAACAAGGAGAACTAATACCTGATATCCAGAATGTTGAGGTTTTTAATGGTCTAGTTTAATAAAAATAGTAGGCCTACTCCTTAGGGAAAGCACTCTCACTAACAAATATATGCTGAAACAAAAAACAGGACTATGTAGCACTTTAAAGACTAACAAGATGGTTTATTAGGTGATGAGCTTTCGTGGGCCAGACCTGCTTCCTCAGATCAAATTGTGGAAGAAAATAGGCATGACCATATATACACCGAAGGGATACCATAAAAAAAAAAGTGAACACATTTTTTTATTGTACCACTTTTTTCTTTTCTTTTTTTTTTTTTTTATGGTATCCCTTCGGTGTATATATGGTCATGCCTATTTTCTTCCACAATTTGATCTGAGGAAGCAGGTCTGGCCCACGAAAGCTCATCACCTAATAAACCATCTTGTTAGTCTTTAAAGTGCTACATAGTCCTGTTTTTTTTTTTTTTTGTTTCAGCTAGACTAGATTAACACGACTACATCGCTATTACTAAATATATGCTGGGCTTCCATAACCAGCCCATTACCTACATCCAGGGCTGCACATGTTCCTTTATGTTCTATGGGTGTTTCAAAAACCACCTATTGTAACTCTCCCCCCTTTCCCCCCCATCATCCACCAGAATTTGCATATGTTCTTCATTAGCCATATATGGGGCACAACTTGTATTCTGGCTGATGTGGATGCTTTGTATGTCACTCCCACGGGGTACATGATGTAGTGTGGCATAAAGGTATGTAATCAGTGCACCGCTTTCAACTGTCACTTTACTATAACGTTAACCATGTACCAACCCTCACCCCAACCCAAAAACCTGTTCCCAGAGTCCTTATCCATTCTACTGTTGTTAAACTTGTGCTTGATACTTGTTTGCAAACATTCGCTAAATAAACTTGTCAATCTGTTCTTCTTCAGTCTTGAATAAAAAGGTTAATGGTGACCAGATGCTTAATACAATTAATATTAACTACCAGGAGAAAGGAACACTAGCCAAAATAGGGCAAGATCAGATTAAAGAACATTTACCTTAGTTAGATATATTCATGGTGGCAGGGGACCTGCTGAAATTCATTCTACAATACATGAACTAGCTGAAGCATTCACAGAACCATTAGCAATTATCTTTAAGAATTCTGGAGGGCAGATAAAGTCCTAGAGGACTGGAGAAGGGGAAACATAATACCTGTGTTTAAATAGATGAACAAAGAGGAACTGGGGAGTTATAGACCAGTCAGCCTTACTTTGATGCCTGGAAAAATACTGGAACAACTGATTAAACAATCCCTTTGTACGCATGTAGATGATAATAGGTTATAAGAAATAGTCAGCATAGATCTGTCAAGAACAAATCATGCCAAACCAATCTATTTTCCTCCTTTGACAGGGTTACAGGTTAAGTTGGTGGGGGGAAGCAGTAGATGCGCCGTATCTTGATTTTTAGTACGGCTTTTGACACAGTCCCACTTGACATTCTCATAAGAAAATTAGGGAAATGCAGTCTATAAGAACTTACTAAAAGGTGGCCTCATAACTCATTGAAGGAATATACTCAAAAAGTAATTTTCAATGATCCGCTGTCAGGCTGGGAGGGCATATCTAATGGTGTTCAGCAGTGTTTCTTTTAAGCTGCACAGCAGCACAACTTCACAGGTGGTTAATCTACCTTGCCCAGTCACTCAGCTCCATGCAAGGAGCCCTGACGCTCTTACTGGGTGGCGCTGATTAACACCTGTGACGCTGTGCTGCCACGCAACTTAGAGGGAACACTAGTGTCCAGAATTATCCTGCATCTGGTGTGCAGTGCTCTCAGCCTGATGCTATTCCATAATTTCATTAATGACTCGCATTAGTGAAGTGGAGAGTACGCAGATAAAATTTGCAGGCTGGGTGGGGTAGCAAGCACTTTGAATGAGAGGATTGGAATTTGAAATGACCTTGGCAAACTGGAGAACTGAGCTGAAGTCAGAATATGAAATTGTAAGTGTGAAGTACTTCACTTGGGAAGGAAAAATTGAATGCACTGTTACAAATGGAGAATAACTGGCTAGGCCGTAGTGCTGTGGTAAATAATCTAGATGACTGTGGATCACAAGTTGAATATGAGTCAACAACATGATGCAGTTGTAAAAAAAGTTATTCGGGGATACTTTAACAAGAACGTCATGTATGACCCAGGAGGGAATTGTCCTGTTTTAATCAACACTGTTGAGAACTCAGCTGGAGTACTGTGTTTGGGTCTGGGCACTGTGTTTTAGGAAAGATGTGGATAAACTGGAGAGAGTGCAGTAGAGAGCAACAAAAACAATCAAAAGTTTTAAAAAACTGACCTATGAGGAAAGGTTAAAAAAGCTGGGCATAATTTAGTCTTTAGCAAAGGCTGATAACAGTCTTCAAATGTGTCAAAGAGCTGCTATAAAGAAGACTGATCAGTTGTTCTCCATGTTTGCTGAAAGGAGGACAAGAAGTAATTGGCTTGATTTGCAGCAAGGGAGATTAAGAAAGGTTTTCCTAATATTTACTTAACTTTATGGATAGTTAAACTCTGAAATAGGCTTTCAGTGGAGGCTGTCCAATGTATTCTTAAAACCTCTAATAATGGGGATTCCACAAACACTTGGATCATGTAGGTCTATTTGGTCCTGTCTCAGTGCAGAGGGCTGCATTTGATGACCTCCCAAGGTTCCTTCCAGCCCTACATTTATAGTCTTCTAGTAAGAATCTATAATATTTTATTCCATTCCTTAGGGGCTTGTTTTGTCTAATAGATGTCTTTGCCCACTTGCAATTTGTTCTCTCCTCCACTGTCTGATGCTGCTAGACTTAGCGTGAGCTTGTGGCTTGTTCTTTTGACTGAGAACAAAAAAAACCTTGTGTAATCTGTGGATGGTTTTCTTCTTTTAGGTTCTATGCAAGTGATGAATAAGACACGGCGAATCATGGAACAGGGTGGTGCTCACTTCATCAATGCGTTTGTGACAACACCAATGTGCTGTCCGTCCCGCTCCTCTATTCTCACGGGGAAATATGTTCACAACCACAACACCTACACCAACAATGAGAACTGCTCTTCTCCATCCTGGCAAGCTCAGCATGAAATACGTACATTTGCAATCTACCTGAATAACACAGGATACAGGACAGGTAAGACCCATGCACCTAACCATCTTTTCAGCTGTTGACTTTTATGAACAAAAAAACAGGCTCAGACCTCACAGCAAGTAGAGAATCCAATGTCCTGTCTCCTTGTTTGTTCTTGCAAAGGGCCACCATAAAACAGGGTGCTAGAGCTTCAGCTTTGCTAGCAGCTTTGACACCATTTTTTCTTTCTTCAATATATAAGATTGTTTTTGCAGGTTGAAGAGTTAAATAGTCTCATTCCAGAAACTGCATATCTTGATGGTGCAGGAATTGCATATCTTGTTGACATAGAAATGAACCCGGGTGACGACATACTGCACCCAGTGCTTAGATAGTGTCTTAATGCTTTGGTGCTCCTAAGGTGGATAAGGCAGAACCTTTAGTGAAGAGAAAAGAAACTGAGGCAGAGTGTCAGGACCTAGACTGAGAGAAGATGGAATTCCTCTTAAATCAGATAGGTTAGTTTAGTCACCTTGGTCTATGCGTGTGGGTTAGGGTGGGGTAATTGGTTACTATGGAGATGCCAAATAGAGGATTAAGAAAAAAAAATTCAGCAGAAGAATAGGCAACAGAAGAGCAGATGAACTCTTGAGAAACAAAAGATCCTGTTTGCATGCAAATGCCTCTTAGCAATAAAGAGTCTGGGAAGAGGAATGCAGAAAGTATGAGATGCTGTTTCAAGCCTATTTCTTTCTGGTATCCACAAGTCCTACAGTGCAAGACCTCACCCATTACTTTGTGTTTACTAGCACAGAGTTGCTTCTTGGCACCTTGTAGGTCACGAAATATGATTTCATACGGAACCCTAGGCCTCCATACATTAGTATAGTTCCTTGGGAAAGGGACTGTCATTTTCTGTATGTATGGCACCGAGCACACATACATCCTAGATCTAATGGACAGTGCTAGATACTTTATTGCATAGTTACTGTTAAGTAGTAGCTGTAATATTTTCTAACCATTCACCTAGGCACTTGGGGTATGTCTAAACTACACCCCTCTGTCAGCAGAAAGATGTAAATTAGATATATCAAAAGTGCAAATGAAGCCGGGATTAAATATCCACCACTTTTTTTTCGAAACAGGGCTTTTCCGGAAGAAAAAAAAAGGCAGTTTAGATGGGGCATTTTCAACAGAAATGCCCCGTTTCTGGAGTATAGGATCTTTCAAAATGGGGCATTTCTGTCGAAAATGCCCCGTCTAAACTGCTGGTTTTTTTGTTTTTTTTCAAAAAGCCCTGTTTCGGAAAAAAAGCAGCGGTCGCCATTATGCAAATGAAGCGTGGGATATTTAAATCCTGGCTTCATTTGCACTTTTGATACATCTAATTTACATTCCTCTGCCGACAGAGGGGTGTAATTTAGATGTATCGTTGGTGTTCAGGCAGCAGGGAATGGTCTTCAAATAGGTTAGGTATTTTCCTTTTTTTTTTTTTCTTTTTGCTCAGATAAAGGCTTGAAACCGGTAGTCTTGAAATCAGGTGAAGTGTAGATGCCTAATTATTTGAGAGAATTTCCTTTTATTTATCACTCCTGGCATTAACATTTGTGACCCTATAAAATGCACGTGACGCTAAGGTCATGCTTTCTTCTTTATAACACATTTGTCCTTTGTTTGCTACCATTTGATCATTGTGATTATTGTTGCAATATTCAGTGGCCAAATTTTGAACACTTATTGTTCTTACTGACGTCAGTCAAAGTCACAGATGATTCTCTCTCAGGATTTGGACCTAAATTTAAATAGGCAGTTTAAGTTAAAATAGTGAGTTTTAATATGCAATAAACCTAAAAAAAATTTCTACTTTGTGCAAGTCAAATGTTTTATAACATCTGTTGTCGTGCAAAAATATCACTTCTGTGAATGCCAATATGGCTTTTTTTTTTTTTAATCTGAGTGAAACCCCCATTCATGCAGACAAATGCAGAGTTTTGTTCACAGAAGCGAATTTGATGGTGACCATTAATGATGGCTGGCTGAAACTTCAGACCATGTTGTTCATTTATGATTCCTGGCTTGAATTTACTGATAAGATGGGTGCATCAGCTGGCTGTGCATTTTACCTGCTTCTTCCAGAGATCTTATCAGATTTACCTGCTTCACTGACTCATCTCACTGATTCCAATCTTAGGAGCTTTGCTATCATGCTCATTATCTTGCATTTCAAAAGCAAGCTGCTTAGGAAGGAATTCTTGGTGATGACAAGTAAAATTTCTTTCTGAAATGGGAAGCCTTGTTTAAAAATGGTAGCAGCCCTGAACAAAGACCCTGATTTTGGAAAGGCTCCCTTTTAAAGAAATCATGCAAGCATATGTATAAATCTCATTGAAGTCAAAGACAATAGAATTGATTTGCTTTGAGATTTAGTTTCATGTTAAGACTTTTCATTTGAGGGGAGACAATAAGAATCTTAGAATCATAGAACATTAGAACTGGAAGGACCTCAAGAGGTAATCGAGTCCAATCCCCTGCCCTCACGGCAGGACTAAGCACTGTCTAGATCATCCCTGACAGGTGTCTGCCTAACCTGCTCTTAAATGTCTCCAGTGATGAAGATTCCACAGCCCCTCTAGGCAATTTATTCCAGTGTTTAACCACCCTTACAGGAAGGAAATTTTTCCTGATTCCAACCTAAACCTCCCTTGCTACAATTTAAGGAGGGATGCTCTCCCACATTCACTTTCAAATGGCAAGATTCAAAACTTCCAGGGGGAGATTTTGGTTTATATATGGATGTATTTATTTATGTAGTTCCTTTTAGCTTCCAGTCCAGTCACTTTCTCCTTCCTTTATCATTTCTTAGGCTATGACTCGACTACAAAGATAAATTGGAAAAATAAATGCAATTTGCAATACGGAAATTGCGTATCTTTTTCTGATTTACTTCCGAAAGAGGCTTTTCCAAAATTTGGCCTGTCTACATGGGACCAAATTTTGGAAAAAAAACCCTCTTTTGGAACATCCCTTCTTTCTCGTAAAACGAGGTTTACGGGGTTGCCGACAAAACACATCCACTTTTCCGACTTTTTTTTTTTCAGAAAAATGGACGCTTTCCTTAGATACCTCCAGTATCCTGGAAAAGCTTTGGAGTCTAGACGTACCCTTATTCATCTCTCTTCTCTACTTTGCTTTCATTCATCTCTCTGCCTCTCCCCTTTTCCATCTCCCTAGATTCTGTTGTTGTCCGAGGCCATGTCTTCACTCAGGGGAAGATTGACTCTGCTGCAGTTGATGTTCGGAGTTCAATTTAGTGGTTCTAGGAAAGACCCACTAAATCAAACTCAGAAGGCACCCCTGTCAGCAGCCGGTATTCCTGCTCCTGCTGTTTGCTCCCATCAGCCTCCCGCTGTGGGGACAGTGGGGAAACTCAAACTAAGGTACATAGATTCCATCTGTGTAATTCATGTAGCCAATGTTTGGAGTAGAAAGAAAACAAAGAGATCCTGTGATAAACATTTCTAAGTAATTAACTAGCTGGAGTTGCATATCTAAATTCAACCTTCCCCTTTAGTGTAGACCTGGCCTGACTTTGGCCCTTCCCATTGTGGTTTTAGTGACTGTCCCTGCATTATGTCCCTGTTGTAGACTAGAATTTTTCACCACTCTGGAATCTTCCTACCTGTTCTTTTACCTGCACTATCATAGTTTCTAGTGGCAATAAAAGCAGTAATTTGGAATTTTTCAGACTGTCCAGTTCCAGCCAGATTTATATGACTGCTGCTGACACCCTTGGCACAGGGCCACTTGAGTGCAGACAGGAGAACCAGCATGACGCAGGATTCTCCCACACTTGATCCAGTGGAAAAAGTGTAGGCGGGGGAAAAAACAGCATGATATTCCCACAATCACTTCCTGAAGTTCAGTCTCCGTAGATTTTAAACTTTCTACCAGTCTATCATATTTTTAGAGCATCAATCAACATTGCAGTTGGGCCAATTATAAAAGCCATAAATAAGATACTGAAATCCAGTCTGTATTAAACTCAATGGGCATTTTGTCACTAACTTTAGTAGAAGTAGGTTTTACCCAGAGTGCATAAGACTCAAGACTGCTGAACTGTGCTTTCACCCATCTGTGGATCAGTTAAAATAAGCATCAGGACAGTGTAAAGTTCGGCTTTTCCTATGCTTTTGCCATCAAGCCTGTAGCAACTGAGAGTATATATGTGTGTCATCATAAGCATTGATTTGTCTTGCCGTCTGGAAAATGCTGATGTCATGAAGTGTAACTATAAAGGCTGTCTTGTTCTGTCTGTGCATCTTATCCATGCAGACAGTGAGTTCCTGCTCTCTGTACATCAAACAGTCCAACTGAAGACCTTCTCATCTCATTGCCGTATTACATAGTGTGGGAAATTACACAGGAAGGATAATTAAGGCAAACACGTTAAGTCAGTTGAAGATTCATTTGTGGAAAAGCATGGTGAAAGCTCTGATGCCTGAATCATCATGATGTGAAATAGTGGTCACTGAGGCTCAGACCCTGAGCAGATGTCTGGAGTGGAGAGAAAACAAAGAGATCCTGTGATAAACATTTCTGAGTGTCTGAGAATTGACTGCCAAAGATTCTGTGTATAAACATTTACAGAAAGAAGGTTCTGTTTTCCATGAATACACAGATCTCTTTTAAGGAAGCAGCACTTGAAATGCAGGATACACTGTTGTGGAGGTGTTTTTCTCCCCCTAGTAACAAATATCAAGGTATTTGATTGTAAACCTAACCTAAACGTTTTCTCTAGACATTAATGAGAGAAGTTTCATTCTTTTTCCCTTTTTGTTTTGTTTTGCTTTCTTATGGATTAGGTCTTAAAATTGGTGACTTGTTTCAGAATATTATAGGGCTTTTTCCCCCCTAGCCTCATTACAGTCAGGAAATGAAAAGCTTTGTGTATCTAATTAAATTAATCAGAAATAGGGACAGTGAGCCAAATTCAACTTGGGTGGAAATGGGTATTGGCTTCAGTGGGTGTTATGTTCGCTTCCATCAGTACTTAAATCAGTCCA